TAATTTAAATAATGCATCAGCAAAGCTTAGCTCAATAATTTTTGCTGACGACACAAATCTCTTCCTTTCAAACTGTGACATTAATCAACTGTATTCTGAAATAAACTCTGAACTAATGAACGTCGATGAATGGTTTAAAGCTAATAAACTTTCACTCAATGTAGATAAAACAAAATATACTTTATTTCATAAAAAATCACAAGATGAAAAACTTCCTTTAAAATTACCTGGCTTGATTTTAAATGTTACACTAATTAGTAAAAACGATTCAATAAAGTTCTTAGGAATTCTTGTTGATGAAAATTTATCATGGCTTCCCCATATAAATTATATTCAATCAAAAAATAAAACTAGTATATTTTGGCCTAATACATTGTCTCATATACTAGGCCAATAATACATGGGCTAATACTCAACCAACAAAACTTAAAAAAATATTTTCTCTATAAAAACATACATGCAGCTTATATATATATATAAAAAATATATATGAACATGCAAAACCATTAATGAAAGACATGCAAATGATGAATATATATGAAATCAACATATATCAATACCTAATTTTTATGTTTAAATGTAACAACAGCTTGGTTTCAAAAAACCTTAATGATAAATTTACAAAAAATGTAAACAAAAAGTATTCTCTTAGAATAAACCAATGGAATACTTATAAATTGCCAAAAATTAATAGTAAGTATTCTGAATATGGAATACCATACCGGAGACCAAAACTTTGAAACACTTTTCAAAAAACAAAAAATTTAAATACGGTAAAATCATTAAATTCCTTTAAGTTTATAATAAAAAATGAAATTTTTAAATTAGATAAATAGTTTTCTTGATTTTTCGAAATATTGTTAAAAAAATTGCTAAAACTATATGACATTATTTACTTTCTTGATTTAATAGAAATATTTATGCAAGTTTTAACCTTTTTATCATATTGGAGATCTTTTTTTTTTTTAACTTGTAAAGCCCACCTAGGGGCTCTATGAAAAGATTGTGGTGACTTTAATCATCCGTATCTTCTTTGAGCCCCTGCCTGTTTTTTATAAATCCACTTTTTTTGTATGTAAACATTTCTTTGTAATTATATTTTTTTATTATATAAATAGCAAATATATATATATATATATATATATATATATATATATATATATATATATATATATATATATATATATATATATATATATATATATATATATATATATATATATATATATATATATATATATATATATATATATATATATATATATATATATATATAAAATTTTGGAATGTTTTCTTCTAGACTTTGCTTAAAAATATTTTTCTGTTCTTTTACGTTCCAAAATCAATATTTTCTCGATATCTTTCGGGATTTTATTCCCTACCACCACAAAACTTATTCTATTTTTTTCATTCCTTAACTTTTCAAATCTTAGTCCACTAATATCGCAAACATGCTGGACATCATCTACAAAAGATTGTTTTACCGTGGGATTGTTAAGCTGAGATTCAAAAATATATATTTTTTTGAATATCAGCTTAATAATCCCACGGTAAAACACAACGCTCGAAAGTGTCAAGAAATTGTAAAGAATTCTTACTAGAAATATTACTAGGTTACTGGCGATTTTAAATATATAGCAAGTATTTAAGATTTATGCCACTTAAGAATACATTTTTTTAATTTCTTGATAACGTTTTTATTATTATCATATGCTAACTGTTGATAATGAATAATGTACTGATTTCTTGATTGATAATGTAAAGATTGAACTTTGTTTTCAAAGAATTATGATTATCTGGATTGTAAACTAATTTATTTTCAGTTACCAATTTGTTGTATAAATAAGGACCCCGATATGAAATTGAGAATTGGGAAAGTTTTGTTTTTTTGAAAGGTGTAATAAAGTTTCCTGTTTCTTTTGTGTTATATTTGTTAACGTTATATATAAAAAAGTTAGTTCAAAAACGATTTGGTACTTGACCTAATTTAAATTTTAGCATAAACAATATATTTTGATAAATGTTAATTTGATAAATATTAAGCACATTCATTTCTGTCAATCGGCAAATTTTAAAGTACTTCTCTACCATTAAATAAGTGAAAAAGTTAAACATTTTCGAATTTTTGATTTTAGTGAAATATTAACAGAGATTTTACGAGGAATCCAAAAAAATACATATCCAAGTTCAAAAACGTAAACTTTTGAAGTATTTTGGGTTACTATGGTTGTTTAATTTGAGATAACTTGTATAGCAACGGTTGCTTAGGGGCAATTTTCTAATAGTACTTTTTGTAATTTGAACGAATTTAATAAAACAAATATTTTTAGCATAATGAGTAGTATAACCAATTATAGAATAATTGTTTTTATTAATAATTAGATTTTTTTTATTTTCATCTTTATTTGGATTTTTTGAAAAATTGAATAATTTACTTTTGTGCTCACCGTTTCCCAAAACTTTGTAGATTTTTTTGACAAAATGAAATTTTCTCAAAAGTTTTAAAGTTTAAAATGAGTAATTTTCTCAAAAGTTTTAAAGTTTAAAATGAGTATGACAACAATTTGAACCTTGATCAAACGTCGATCAAACATTTACATCTACTAAAACCTCTTTTTTAGATCAATTTTGGGGCAAAAAAATAAGAATTTTGTCATAGATGCATTTTTTTTTTTTTTTTTTTATTTATATAATTTAGCCGTACAAATATTTACAAGTTCCGTAATTTAAAATATTTAAAAATGGCAAGGACGAGAAGAAGACGGGGTTGTCTTATCACCAAGTCCCTTGTTTGTCTAGACATTTATATAAATACATGGTAACTAAAATGAAAATTAAAAAATTAAGATAAAAGCAAAATATTACAAAGAAGTTTATATAAAATGCCAAATAGTTTAATAGTTCAAAGTTTTGAAAGATATTTTTTCGATTTTATTTTTTGAAAGAAAAATTTAAAAGTTCATTCAGAAAAACAAAAATATCAAAAAACTAAAAAACATGAAAAAAGTAAACGTAAAATTTAATTTACAATCTGTTCTTATAAAGTGTAATATATTAATTCCTCAAAAACAAATTACAAAATATTAATATAAAAAATTAAAACTCAAAAAAGATTACTTTTTTTATTTTTCCTCTCTCTCTCTCTTATTTAAGAAAACTAATAAATTTATTTAAACTAATGAAATCTAAAAATGCTAAAAATCTTTATAAGTACTTTTTTTATAATATAACAGACTGTAATACCTATATAAAATTAAAGAATTTAGACCTTCCAGACAAATAAAGTATGCATTAGTAGATAGTTTTAATATATAATATTTTTATAGATAGATTTAAAAATAATTATCTGTTTGTTCATTATTTAAAAGTAACAGTTTTAGTTTTTGTTTAAACTGATCAAGAGTTTTAAGTGTTTTAATATCATAACTGATTATCTTATTCCATGCATTAGGTCCTCTAACAGTTATTGAAAACTTGGTGGAGTCGTATATAGTTTTGGGTTGAACAAAGTTGTTGTTAGAATATTTAGTTACGTATTTGTGTTGAATTTTATTAAATAATGGTTTGAAGATATTTGGTATTGAATTGTTACTAATTTTATACATAAAAATCAGAAGATGATATATATTTATTTGGTACACATTTAGTATTTTTAGATTGTTAAACAATGGTCTTGAATGTGAGAGGCGGTGTGCATTTGATAATAATCTAATTGCATGTTTTTGTTTGCTAAATAGCTTTTTTATCTTTGTTTTATTGGTGCTACACCAAGCAATGTTTGCATAATTAAGATAAGAATGTATAAATGAGTAATATATGTATTTCAAGCAGGATTGATCTAAGAATGGTTTTGCTTTATAGAGTAATCCAATATTTTTAGAAATTTTATTTTCAATCATGTTTATGTGGTCTTTCCAATTTATGTTTTCATCTAGAATTACACCTAAAAATTTCATCGAACATTCTCTTTTTACGATGTATACGATGCATTATAACTAAGGGTATAATAAATTATCCAATTTGGTTTTAGGTTCAAATTGTTATTTGTCCTTTTATCAACAGGTGTATTTTAGGAAACAGATTTCTTAACAGGTTCTTTTTTTGTCCTTTATATCATAAATTCGGCGCATGCGCAATGAATTCGATTACTTTTTAAACTTGACTCTTAATTATTTTTAATAAATATGCATAAAATAACTTTTTTATTTGATTAAATCAGTTAATTCAATTTTTCATTTTAACAGTAAAGAAGTATCTTAAAAAACAAGGAATTTTTTTTTAAGTCGGCAAAATTGTAATGGCACCCCTCCATCGAGAAACCTAACCATTAAATGAGTATAGCGTTCAATATTTTAATTTTAATTTTTTTGTTATGCCACTTTTACTCTTTTACGATTGAATTTTTGCGGTTAGAGATCCTCAACTAAATAAATATAATTGTTTTTTTTTTCCTGTTAAAAAACATATTTACATTTTAACACACTTCCGAATTTAACACACTTCGAACTTTGGTTTTCGAACTTAAATCATACATTTTTGTAATATTTTTTACCTTTTTTTGTTAACAAAATACTTGTTCTTCCGATTTTACTTTTTTAATTTAATTTTATCTTTATTTTTATAACTTTTGTTGTATTCATGTGAGTATAACTAATATTGAAATACTTATTTTCAACAATTGGAATAAAAGAAAAAAGAAAGAAGAAAAATAATCGAAAAGCATGTATATAACATTACACAAAGAATATATTAAGTGTGTAACGTTTTTAAGTTTTTGACCACTTTTTCAAAGACTTTTAAGTTCGATTGAAGAAATTACATATTCAAATTATCAAAAAACTTTTAAGTTCGATTGAAGAAATTACATATTCAACTTTTTCCAAATTTAAAATATATAAAATTTAATTTAGAATATATAAAATGCTTAACGTAATAATTTAATTAATTTTAAATTTTAGAATATATAAAATGCTTAACGTTTTTAAGTTTTTGAACACTTA